ATATATTTTAATCTCCATGCCTTTAATCATCTTAGTTGCTCTTCTTTGTACTTTTTCCAAAGTCTCAATATCTTTTTTGTAATGTGGTGACCAAAGCTGAATGCAGTTTTCCAGGTGTGGTCTTACTAAGGATTTATAAAGCAATACTAATACTTCACATGATTTTGATTCTATGCCTCTGTTTATACAACCAAGGATTGTATTAGCTTTTTTGGCTGCTGCTGCACACTGCTGACTCATGTTTAAGTGATCGTCCACTAGGACTCCAGGTTTTCTCTCACAGTTACTATTTTTGAGTCAGGTTTCACCTAATCTGAACCTATACCTTTAGTTTTTCCTGCCCAGTTATAAAACCTTGCTTTTCTCCACATTAAATTTCATGTTGTTGGATAGGGCCCATTGTTCAAGTCTGTCAAGATCTTTTTGACTCTGGGCAGTTATTCCTCCTGGTTGGTCCCCATTATCTTGAAGGATGTGGTTGCAGAGCTTTTTCTAGAAATGAAAATCCTAGATCTTCCTTAAAAAGTTCTTTCCTCTCTCATATTCCTTATCCTTTCAACCAAAATACATGGCTAAGAAAGAAGTGAACCAATTATATCTTGATCCATTTCAGTTTGATTTTTTTTTCTGGCTCAGTGTGTTTATGTTTCTCATAGTTGAGGGGAAGAGCTTACAGAAGTAGGCATTTCACTCATTGAGTAATTAATGAGTGGATGGGGTTTTACTTCTCTGCCAATATCTTAGTTCCAATCAGCAGTTTTTGGAAAGAAGACAGTTGTGAGCTTTTAAACAGTCAGGAGGGCAGATAGAAACAGAACTGTTTAGTGGCTTGAGAACAGCACAAAATAAAAATAAAGATGAGTTTAGTGATAGGGGGAATAAACCAAGGCATCAAAAATAGGAGCATTTAAGACAAAAGAAAACCAAGTTATGAATAATAATTACTATTATTCCCAGGAGAGAATGTTTTCCAGTTTTTGCATAAGACCAATAATTCTCAACCTTGACAGCTTTCTTATCTTTGGACTTCAACTCC